AGGCATGCAGGGGTAGAACCAGGCAGCAGGGGTAGCATGAGGTAGGAGGGTCGTCACAACAAGGCCGGTGGCCATGCCCTTTGCCCTGTAGCGTAGCATCAGTACGGGCCGGCAGCCTCTTGCCTCCATCTACCTGCATCCCTCGAAGGCGTTGGCGATCCTCTTCAGTGGGCAGCATGACGTCTGATCGGCCTAGGGGCACACATCACCTCCTCCAGCCTCATCCTCCCCTCCCTGTATCCTGCACTCCTCCCCTCCCCATCGCCTCCTCTTCTTTCTCTACCCCTTCCTTCGCTCTTCTGTGGAACCCTGGGGCTCACCACCGGACAGTCTGGAGTCTTCTTCGTCCCTCCCAGAGAGTCAGCGCACTTGCGAACGCCATGCTCAGACAGATCCTGCCAAGTCGCCATCCTCAGAGCTCCTCCACTACCGCCGCCTCCTCCTCACCGCTGGTTCTACCCCGATGGCTCCGTTCACCGTCTTCACGCCGTTGGCGTACGCCGTCGCCCCTGCCGCCGAGTCGGTGATGACGTTGCCGAGGGCGGAGGTGATGGAGGTGCCGACGAGGAAGTCGTCAAGAGGCAGCCTGTAGCTCTCGTTGCCCAGCATCTTCCTCATCACCGACCTGCCTCCCACATAACTCTCTCTACCTCCCCAGCTCCTGCTGCCGATCTACCTGCTCATCGAGTGGACGTCGGGCCCGTATCCATCTCCAAGCATGATCACAAGGCTCCTCTCAGCCTTGGGGTTGACTGCCCGCCGACGTCAGCGCGTGCTCGTCACAGGCCCCTGCCATAGCAATGTTCTCACCTCTCGACCAGTAGTCGTAGGCCTCCCTCGAGATCCTCCGCAGCGTCCCGTTCCCTCCCGCGCACATGACAGGCTTCATCTTCGACTTGTCCTCCTTGCCAACGGCGCTGAAGAAGATCACCAGGACAACAACAGCCACCAATCCCATGACGGCCCATCGGATTTCCTTGCGCTGGTAAAGATTGAGCAGATTGGAGGTCGAGGAAAGACGGGCACGGGGTACACTTCCTCCCCCCCTGTCATCCTAGTCATCACACTGATCGCACAGTCTCATGGCACAGCTAGGATCGACAGTACGAGCATCGTGTGACTTGGCCGATAATGGAAGGACGAGGAATCAGAGTCGACAAGGAGTTGAACACGGAGGAGGGTGGGGGAAGGGGCAGGCGGGGCGAGCAGGAGGAGTGTCGTCAGCATGAGGCAGCATGAAGTTTGTTGTGAGCAGGAAGTCAGAAATGTTCTCACATGTTCTCCTCCTCAAACGCTTTCCTCATCGCCACCCCCTCCTCCGCCATGGCCCGATCCTGTAGACCTGTGGTGCTTATTCGCTCTACCCCTTTCTTATCTTCAAGTACCCCACCCTCACACTGCATGACCCGTCCGGTAGCAGCCATTTTCATGACCAAGTGGGGATAGATCATACTACCCCTTGTACCACCTACCCCACCCTGTCATCAACCAGTCACCCTCACTCCCCTGGTCACTACCCTCTACCCTTACCCCCGTGAACACAGGGAAAACATCCGGTACTGTCAAGTCCTCCCATAGTCCCAGATCACCCCCTCTTTATCCTCAGTTTGTACCCCCTTCCAAATGACTTCAAGAGAAGGCGTAGACCCCCAGACTACCCTGTCCATATTGACCCCTACCCTAGTCTTAGAAGACCCACCCTACATTTATCTTGTATTGTGGCATCGTCCTCATAGGGAAGTACCCTCCCATAGAATACCCCTACCCTCACAAATTTGACAATACCCCTGCTGTACAGAACCACCCAAGGTTCTAGAAGGGGACCCTCGTTCCTCCCAGAACCACCCCCCGTCTATGGATCACTTAAGAAACACCCACCCTGTCTGTGCACCCCTACAAGGAGTTTCCATCATTTACCCTACCGGTCATGGTCATGTTAGTCATACACCCCACCCCTCAATTCCTGTATGATTTGTTTCGTTTTGAAGGTACACCACCCCACCCACAGTCCTACTTTACTCATCTTCACCCCACCCACCAAGCGCTTATTGTGCCTACCCCACCCCTATGACTCCTGGGATACCTACCCCCACCTTTCCCACCCTCATCACCCGATCATCCGCACAGCCTTCCTCCAGTTTGGAGGGGAAAGCGAGGAAATGAGAGGGCTTGCGGTGGAGGTTCCTGTAACCAGCCGCGTTGCATGGTGAGATTAGCGAAAAGATGCGGAGCAGAGCAAGAAGAAGAAGACCATGGTCTGCAAGCAAGTTCCTGGAGGTTGCCTTGCTTCATAAGCACTCGATCAACTTGTGTTCCCCGAGGACAGCTTCTCCGGTGTCACGAAATCTCCGAATACAGCAGGGAAAGGACGATTCTGCACCTTCAAAAGAGCCAGTGAGCAGCACAGTCAGATGAATGGGTTTCTTGAGACATAGTCACTCAAGATTCACATGGAGAGCTGGAGAATGGGCATGGGATACAGACTCCTAGCAGAGAATCCTTACCTTCGGATGTCAAGCTCGCGGATCCTTTCCTACCGCTGTCGATGAAAGAGAGGGACGGTCCCTCGCATCTTACATTCAGTCTATCCTGGAATCCTCCCTCTCCTCCAGCTTCCGTAGCGTTAAACGGCTGGGTACAAGGCTACTGCCAACTTTGAATCTCAGAAATACATTTGGTAGAGACAGAGAATGCAAAAGGAGGCGCTATTGGTCAGAAGAGTTGCGTTTGAAATCCTGCGAGAAATCATAGCAGCAGGAGATTCGGGTGTTGAGGGAAGAACAGATCGTAGGAAAGATGTGTTGAGAAATGAACGGAGATCTGAGAGTGGATCTTGTGAAGAGGAAGGCAAACCCTTGCAATCTCAAGGAGTGAGAATTACATGCATATGACTTGGTATCACGATTTCTCAAACAAATGTCGTACACTTACCAGTGGAGATGAGCTGTACGCCATGGGTATTAGATAGAGAGAAATGGCGGGACGAATGTGGAGAGGTACCTATGTAGATGGCGAGGAAGGGGAGGGAGGGAGGGGCAGGGTGAGGGCAATGATATGATGCTTCAGTTATGCAATCAAATTCTACCTCTCAATGACTGATGTCTTGTGTCAGATTGCCCAGCATCTCATAGTTCAGTCGTGAGTTTCACTTGCTCAGCCTTTCGCTCCTCGCGGTCAGCGTCTGCTGTGGCCGCAGACATCCCACTGACTTGGTCGGGGCAGTTGGAAGGAACATGAGCCACTCTCAAGACAAGCTGCGGGACAGGTTGAACAAGTACAAGAAGTCTACGAGCAGGGAATGTGCGGACTGCAATGCCAAGGTCCGTCTGCGCGATGTCGGATCTCGTGTGACGGTGCACCGCAGAGCATGACCTCCATCTGCATGGACTACGGGACTTTCGTCTGTACCAACTGCGCTGGGATCCACAGGGAGTTCCAGCACAAGTGCAAGGGCATCACCATGTCGAACTGGACGCTGGAGGAGGTTGACATCTATCCCTTGTTGCCCGCATGCCGTTGACCCTGGGCTGCTCCTGGCAGGTGAAGTTCGTCGAGTCGAAGGGAGGCAATGAGAAGGATGCTTCCGTCTACCTCGGGGACTGGAACCCATCGCTGTTCCCCAAGCCGGACGAGAGCGACAGGGAAGGAGTGAAGAGGTTCATCGAGATGAAGTACTACGACAAGCGCTGGTTCCTCACCCCCTCCGACCACAGCAGACCAGCCGCTCAGAACCACGTCGCCGACAGCTCCTCGGCCACGGCAGCGGCTCCTCCTGCCAGCAACCAGCCAACCCAAGAGGTGAGCAAGGCCCCCACAGTCGACCTTTTGTCTAGCTCCAGTGCAGTGCCAGCGGCCCAGCCTCAGCCTTCAGCGTTCAGTGGAGGCTCATGGGACCCTTTCGCCTCCTCAGCTGCCGCCCCGGAGCCCAAGGAGCAGCTCGCCGGGTCCCTTCAGTCTTCGTCATGGGATCCCTTCAACCAGACCGCGCCTGCGACCTCTTCCATGGACCATGCACAGCCTGCCGATCCCTTCGGCTCCTCTAGCGCTGTCCGGAAGGCCCCGCCACCTGCCCAGCAGGATCTCTTCTCTCTGGATGAGCCTCCATCGTCCCATGCTATCCAGTCCGGAGGTGCGTCGACGAGCACAGCTGCTTTCAATGTTGCCTCCGCGTCAGTGTCTGATGACCCCTTCGGCTTCAGCTCGCCGCCTCCACAACCTCCCCCGCCTCAGAAGGTTGTCGAGTCGCACAATGAACACAGCGCGATGGCTCCCACTGCTGTCCATCGAATCGTCGCCCCGTCTCGTCCCCCCCCGCCTCCCGTCCCTCCCCCGGTGGACGCTGCAGTTGCGAGCGCCGCAATCTTCTCAGACCCCAACTACGATCCCTTCGCACAGGCAGACTTGACTTCCAGCACCTCCTCGTCTTCCAATCTCCATCCGGCATCGGCTTCGGCAGGAGGAAACAAGCCTGCTGCCCCGGCCGGATCGAATAGCCTAGATCAAGACCTCTTCTCACTTGGTGGGGCAGGAGCAGGAGCAGGAGCAGGAGCAGGAGGAGGAGCAGGAGCAGGAGGACAGGACCTGTTCTCGCTTGGTGGCGCAGGAGGAGGGTCAGGAGGAGGGAGCGGGGGCCAGGACCTGTTCTCGCTAGGAGGGGAGGGGAGGGGGAGCAGGAGGGCAGGACCTGTTCTCTCTAGGAGCAGGAGGAGGAGGAGGAGGAGCAGGAGGAGGGAGCGGGGGGCTGTCGGATCAACTTTCAGGTATCTTTGTCCTTGTGCTCTTCCGCCAGCTCACTTGCCTTCTCCTTGTCAGGCCTCAACCTCAACGTCTCGTCCGGTGGTTCCTGTGCTGCTGCCCTCCCTTCCTCTCACCATCCTCCTGCAGGCTCGGAGCCGATCGCCCGCAAGCCGTCGGGAGGATTCGACGATCCCTTTGCCGACCTGGTCTCCGACCTTCCTCCCGTTGTGGAGGAGGCGAGCCCTGCCGAGGCCCACAAGGCTCCCTCGTCCTTGATGATGGATGGGCAGGGAGGAGCCAAGGCAGAGGGAGCGAGGGACGGGTTCAGTCACTCCTCTACTAGCGGCCTGCTTGGATCTAGCGGGCACACGCATCTCGACTTGCATGCTAGTGGTCATGCCCCGGGCTTACAAGCTGCTGGGGCTGGAGCTGGACTCGGAGTAGGTGCAGGCGTTGGAGCAGGGTTTGGAGCAAGTGGAGGAGCTGGAGCTGGAGCTGGAGCTGGTGCTGGTGCTGGTGCTGGTGCTCAATTGTCACCGCAGCAGCAACAGCAACAGCAACAGGCGTTCATGATGATGCAGCAGCAGGTAGTACCCTCGCCCTCTGATGGCTCCCTACCCCCACCATCCGCGCTTGCTTCAGAACTTGCACTGCTGCCCTCTCCTCCTCTCCTCCTCTCCTCCTCTCCTCCTCTCCTTCCTCCTCCACTTGTGCTGTGCCGGTGACGCGATCGGTCCAGGTCTTCATGGTGCAGCAGCAGGTTATGAACGGGATGATGACTGCAGAGCAGGGGCAGCAGATGGTCGCGCAGATTCAGATGATGTTCCAGAAGCAAATGATGATGATGGCCCAGATGGCTGGCAAGGTAGAACCCTCTCCCCTGCTGCTGCTGCTGCTGCTGCTGCTGCTGCTGCTGCTGCTGCTGCTGCTGCTGCTGCTGCTGCTGCTGCTGCTGCTGCCGCCGCCCCTCTGCCCCTCTGCCCCTCTGCCCCCTTGAACTTCACTGCCCCCACCTCCCCCTGTCCTTCTCGTCTCACTCTCCTTGCCTCTGCTCCTCTGCTGTGCCTGCCCCCACACCTTCCTTAAACTCTTTCTCCCTCCCTTCCTTCCCCCCCTCCCTCCCCCCTTCCTTCTCCTGCGTCGCCTTGACTTCTCTCGCAGGCTCACGATGCCATGCCTTCGCACCCGGCCCCTCACGCTCCTGCCGCTCATCCTTCACAGACAGGCGTCACGCGCGTCCCCTCGAGCGAGCATCGCGCCCCCGCTAAGCAGGAGGAGCAGAAGCCGGACCTCTTCTCGGGCTTTGGGGATCTTAAGAATTTCCGCAAGAAGTGATTTCACTTGCTCTTTACAAACTTTACCCAGTTTGACTGGACAAGAGCCTGCGCTGCTGTTTGAAGATGCTCCACCTTCCTCGTTCATCTCCTCCTCCTCCTCCTCCTCCTCCTCCTCCCTCTCCCAGGAGGATTGAAGAGGCCCCTCCCCCAAGTATGTCCGAACCCTCCGCTCCTTCAACCCTCTTCCTCCCTCCTGGCCACCTGCTTCTCCTCTCATACTTCACATGCGGGAGTTGCTGATGGAGAAGATAAGGATCGAATCTGCTCCCACGCGCTCGAGCTCCTGCAACGCCGTTAGCTCCTCCTCCTCCTCCTCCAACTTCACACGCACGTCCATGATCTTCGCCGCGTCTTTCTTGTGCACCAGTGCAGAGACCTGCGGCCTCGTTAGCACCTCTATATTTGCAGATACTCTCATTTCATGTAACCCCCCTTCATGCTCCTGCCCGCCTCCCTTTCCCTCTCTGCTTCCCTTGACCATCCCCTTTCCTTTCTTCTGTCCTTTCCATCATCCTCCATCCTCTTGTTTGCACATACCGCACACCATCCGCTCTCCTCCAGCGCCGACACCGTCGGGCTTCGCTTGCCTGGGGTGATCTGCTGCAAGTCAGCACGAGCAGGCGCAGAGAAAGGGGAAGGAGGGGACGAGCGGAGGGACATTGCACGGACGAGGAAGGAGGGTAGACGAGTAGAGAAAGGAGGATGCTGCAGCAGAGCAGGAGCATAAGAGGAGCAGTGGAAGGACCAGAGGGAGCGGGAGAGGAGTGGGACTCACTGCAAGCGCCTTTTCAAGGTTCTCACGCTGCACGTTGTACTGGATCATCTGATACTTGGTTGCCGTTTGATATCCCTCTATCCTCTTCTTGATAGTCTCAACAAGGGCAGGATAAGGGGTGTTGACGTTCTTGATCAGAACAGCCTGTGCAGAACTCCCTTGAGTCCTCAAGGTTGCCAACATGCCACAACCCTGACTGCTCCTCCCCTTGTCCTCTACCGTTGGTTCCCTCCTCTCCCTAGCCCTCATGTTTTCACTCATCCCCCTTCTCCTCGAAATTCCCTTAACTCCACCCCTTCAAACCTCCAAACCCTCCCTCCTATCCCTCCCTCCCTCCGTCTTCTCCCTCCCTCCGTCTTCTCCCTCCCTCCTCCTCTCCCTCCTCCTCTCCCCCTCCTCCTGTTCTACCTCTGTCTCCATGATGGTCTCCACTATCTCGAGTCCAGCCGCTCTCATGGTAGTTCCCGTCTCAACCAGGTCAACCACAGCGTCTGCCAGGCCCAACCCGCACGCCGCCTCCACACTCCCGCTGCAGGAGGAGAGGAAGGAAACAGTCAGGAAGCAGATTCCCAGCAAAGCCTTTCAGCACCTGACAAACTTGATCTTCGTCTTGCCAGTGCTGTCCTGCCATGGTCGTCAGCCCATGCTGGGGTGGGTCAAGTAGTCTCACATTCTCGTACTTGCTGAAGTATTTCTCTGCGATCGCCGGGAATGACGTCACCACTCGCTTGCCTGCGAGCACAGAAGCCTGCGGGAGCCTCGTCAAGGCCGCCACGTCGGCGATCTCACTTACATCCTTCAGCCCCTCCGCTGCAGGCGCCTGCACCGCGAGTTTGCACTGCCCGAAGCCGAGCTTGGCAACGATCGAGAGGTCCTTGTTCTGCGGCTCCGTCTCTTCGATGACCTTGCAAGGAGTCAGCAAGAGGCAGCTGCACATCCTCAGCTCACGTCCATCCCAGTGATCCCCATGTCGACGTTTCCCTCCGCCACGTAAGTAGCAATGTCGTGTGCGGGAAGGAACACGAGCGTGACCTGCAGGCAGCCATCACTCACCCCGGCAGCACGGCAGGAGACTCGACCGGAAGGTCTGTGCAGTGAGCGATGTCGAGACGCTCAGGTCGCTTGTGCTCCAGTCCTGCTCCTTGTACCAGCAGCTTCATGCATTGCTCGTGCAACCTTCCCTTCTTGGGAACCCCCATGAGCAGGTTCTCCGGGGGAATCGAACTCATCGTGTTGGTGGAGCGAGCGCGATCTCGTCGTTCAGCCATGGCGGATCTGAAAAGAAACATCGTTAGCATGCTTGTGGGGTATTGGGAGATCAGTTAGTTGCAGTGTTGCTAAGTGACAGAACAGAACAAACTTGATGGTACTAATCTTGTTTGGCATGGAGTTTGATACGTTTGTTCGCTGAGAAATTGACCACATTACAAAGAGGAACAACGAGCACATATTCGATCATGAGACAACATTGCCAGCCATGAGGGAGAGACCCTATCGGGATGGCGAAGGGGGGTTAACGATGATGTACAAGAACTCCTAGTTTCCCTAGGAGGAGGAGGCGGAGAGACCCTGCCCTGGGCGAGCAGACATGGAGTAGGAGGAAGAAGAGATCGGGAGGCAGCATGAAGGCAGGGCTCTCTCAGCAGCTTCCCCATGACCCCCCACCGCCTCCATCCTCGCCATGCCAGGCCTCGTGCCAGCGTGCCAGCACTCTTAAGTGATTCTTCACCGGTCCATGAAAAGTCCAGAGGGGGGGTGGGGTCGATTGCAAACCGGGTAACCCTACCCCTTGCATGACCAGCGAAATAGGGGAAACACAAGGGGTCATTTGACAAAACCGGGTATATAAATGTTGAGCAGCACGATTTCTGTATGCAGAGGTGGCCGAGTTGGTCTAAGGCGTCGGTTTAAGGCACCGATCTCTTCGGAGGCGCGGGTTCGAATCCCGTCCTCTGCATTCTTTTGTTCAGCGGTGGGTAGATCCGGCCATACTTTTTTCCTGCCCAAAATAGGACCTGTAGGTCACTTAATAGGACCTGTAGGTCACTTATGTAGTAAAGATGACGTCGCAAGGTTCGCCAGAACGAGTGATTCCAAATGCTCCAAACCTTTTCTATCGAAAAGAAGTGCTTTGATGACCTTCTTACCACTGTGATGATTTCACCCATCGAAAAGAGTATCGTTGGAGTTCATTTTTACAACCATGCTGACTTTACTCCTCTCGCCCCCCTTACAGGCCTACAAAAGCTTCAAGCTCCCAAACACCCCATCAGCTCCTCCCTCCAGCTCCTCCCTCCAGCTCCTCCCTCCTGCTCCTCCCTCCAGCTCCTCCCTCCTGCTCCCTCCTCCGAGGTTCATCTTTTTTTCGCATCTCCCTGTCCTCGTGTCTGACCCTCTACCGGTTTCTACCATCTTACTCCGCCATTCCCTCAGCGTCATGCCTCTTTCGCAGTCTACCCCCCGCGTTCGCAACCGTTCCTCCTCCCTCACCGAGACTCAAGGGCTCACTAGTTTCACTGTAGCGGCAGAAGAAGTCGACGACCTCATGCTCTGTGCGATGGTGTCGCGCTATGCTGCCGGAGACGCTGCCGTCTCAACCAACCTAGTGTATCGTAACTCTTGATCATATTCATAAACATTACAAACGGAGGACAAAAACACTGAAAGCATCTCATTCGGAAGCAACCTGGACTACGGGGCCCATAGGACAAAGAGCCGACCTCCCAAGTCTGGGAACCCCTTTAGACAGATCAATAGGCGAGAGATGAGCGGGAATAGCTCTTATAACTATGACATTCTAAGAGTCTAATAAACTCAAATAATAAATAAATACAAACATCAACACATTCAATCTCTCCTCAAACTCCCATCGCCCGCTCTCCTTGGATCAGAGCTCAAAACCCCTTGCGACGGAGAAATCAGAGTGTGAGAACAGACTTCGAACAAAACCAACATACACGTCTCAGTGTCATCCTATCTTGTGCGCTATGCTCTCACCACGCTACCTCACGTCCCAAGAAACAAGGCGCACTCCGGATCAGGAAGCAGCTGGTCTTGATAGAGGGAGAACTTGACCCCGAAGCATGCCTTGAAGCACGCTGCCGCTCCGGACTGATGATTGCCAGCGGCTGGGAACAAGGGGCCTGGAGGACCCAGTCGTAAGTGACCAGCCTTGAGGTGGCGCAAGCAGGAGCAGCACCTGAGGGAAGCTGAGAAAAGACGCGCCCGACACTCCTGCCGTTGATGTAGTAGACGAGAGTCCGTTGGTCCATGTCCAGCAGCAGCCCCAGGACATCGTTCTGCTGGAAAGAGACCACAAACTCACCCATCACCCCCTTCCTCCACGTTCGGACTTGAGGGACAGGGCAGGCCCCACCCCCTGCTCTCTCCGCCTCTGACGTCTGAGACTTGCTGGCCTGCTTCCCACCTATGGCGAAACTGGAGGAGCGGCGTCAGGCTGTCGTCCCACCGCCTCCCTTGCCGCTCACCCCATGGTGCAGAGGGAGCCAGAGTCCTGTCCCGCCCCTTGCTCGGGCAGCTCGGTGAAGCCAACGTAGCAGTACCTGCAGTCAATGCTCACAGATCGATGCGAGGAGGGAGAGAACCTACTTGCTCATCTGCAGGACCTTGAGCAGGATCAGGTGCACCCCTCTCGTGTATCCGGCTTCTGCTATGGCGACCCCAGGACGGCCTGCGGCAGCAGGGAGCGTGACAGGTTGCCAGACAGCGCAAGCACTCGCCTCCTCCTATCTGTGCCGTGGAACGATCGCAAGACAGGATGACGTTTGAGGAGGATGTGAACGGGTTCCATGCTCCGGTAAGCCCTTGCCCCCCCTGCTCGTTTGACGTCGTCACCTCCTGTCCTCGTTCTCCTCTCTCGCGCCTCGCACCTGATCCTCGAGGAGGTTGCAGGTATCAAGAATCTCCACGAGCTCCAGGATCTGCGTCCCCTCCAAACTCTTGATGGGCAGCCAGAAGCCGTTGGCGACCTGAGCGGAGCGAAAGGGTTCAGGTGGAGCTGCAGACGCTATTTGGGGCCGGAGACAACCTGAATCCAGTTCTTCTGGATGCAAACAGCAGCAACCAGATCCTCGAACTCTGGTCCATACTGCTCCTCTTCATTGTCCCACCACCTAGCAGGAAACGTCAAGCAACAGCAGCGCGGATGACCGCAGCTCGTCTCACCTCTGCCTGTACACACGAGCGTCGAAATGTGGCTCGTGCCGATACTGGACTCCGTCCTGGTCAACAACCTTGAACACATAGCGGAACGATGTGTGGGAGGAGCCCGAGCCTCGGACCCAGCTTGAGAGGATGGAACGCAGGTCTTTCTTGCCTCCCTTGATTCTGTGTTGCCATCATCAGCGATCTGAAGCAGCCCGCCTGCAAGCTCAGACCTTCTCTTGCCCGACGATCTCGCGGTCGAGTCAGACGAAGAGGCCCTTGAGAACGGGCGATTCAGAGGAGACTGGGCAGCACTCGACGAGGATCGCTCATTGAAGTATCTCTCGCCCCTGTTGAGAGCGGCGACAGGGGATAGAGTCATCGACTTGAACGGAGAGGTCCCCGACCATTGCGACAGAACTTTTGCCCCTCCACCCTGACAGGAACTCACAACTGGAGCTGGCAACAAGGAGATATGACCTTGGAGCCTCCATGCGCGCGGCCCTTGTCGACTGCTTGCGGAGGAAACAAGGCTTCCCCCGAGTCGATGAAACTTTTCTTGCTTCGGATGGAGGAAGGAGACAGAGGAGTCAGGTGAATGCCTTGCCCAGGTTCCGAGCCAGAGTCCACCTGCAACCCCTCTCCCTCCATGTCTGAATTTTGAGGCCCAGGGAGGATGGCAGGGAGGTTCAACCCTCTCCTCTTCGTCAGGCCGTACCGCGGTGATTCATCCACGGAATTCAGCGCTTGCACCTCCAAATCTTCATTGCTGTGTCTGGTTTGCTCCAAATAAGCGGTAGAGTCTTGCTCAACTTCCATCTTCCTCGGTGACATCATGCGATCAGGCTGATTTGGAGTAGATTGGAGAGGTGACGACGTTGCAGAACTTTTCTTGCTGTCGACAGGCTGTTGACAGGAACGGTTGTGTCAGAAAATTCCTCCAACATGAAAATGGCTGCCAACCAGAATGTTCGATGCCTGCGACGAGCTCGTGGTTTCTCGCAAGCATTCTAGAAACCAAGAATCCAACTTCTCACTCAAGAGGTAAAGCTTTTGAATGCAGTGTTCTGAAGCTCTCGGAAGAGGAAACTAGCAACTAGCAATCAATCTTCGCAAGTGTCTTGAAAGATATCTTATACCTTCTCTATCAACTCTTCGTTTTTCTCGAAGGCAGCCACAACTTGTTCTATGAAGGATTTGATGAGATTGACGGCTTCAGCTAGTTCTGTATGGCTGGATGACGAGACGTTCATCTGTCCAACATATCAGGATGTGCATCTCAATGAAGAGGAAGTTTCACCTCGTTCAGACAAGCAAGAGGCGTTGGTGTGCACCTGGAGAAAACCAAGTCTCTCATTCAACAGCAGGACAGGAAGTCAAATTCTCGCAACCTCCAGTGATCATAGTTGTTCGTCATCGATCTTCCTTCCAATCGTATTAGCTTTGGAAACTTTCTGGGACTCAATGAGGAATGATTCGCTCCTGGTGGTCTTGTTCCAGAATTACTCATGTCCTGTTCTCCATTGCTATCGCAAGAACCCTGCATTGGCGTCTGATCCGCATTTTGTTGAGAATGATCTGGACAGGCCTCACAGCCTCCCTGTGGGTCTCCACCACCTTCCCTCTCCTCCTCCTCTTCCTCGATCCTTCTCTCCTCTTCCTCGGTCCTTCTCTCCTCTTCCTCGGTCCTTCTCTCCTCTTCCTCGGTCCTTCTCTCCTCTTCCTCGGTCCTTCTCTCCTCTTCCTCGATCCTTCTCTCCTCTTCCTCGATCCTTCTCTCCTCTTCCTCGGTCCTTCTCTCCTCTTCCTCGCACCAGGACGGTCTGATCAACTTGGGCAGCTTCATGCCATTGAATCGAGTAAATAAAAAGAATGATAACCCCTACCCCCGTAAAAATCGAGAAATCTACACAGAGGGTCCCTTGTGCCAAAGACCCCAAGTGCGGTAGCGAACTGACGGTCTCAACTAATAGCGAACTGACGGTCTCAACTAATTTAACACCGATGGTCGAAACTGCGGCGGCGAAGGCTCGGCCAGTCAGAAGAGATCTAGCAGCTCTGGTCCTTGAGCAAGCAGATCACTGAGAGAAGCCATGCACAGGCTGTAAATGAAGCTTGTCGAAGACCCTTCCCAATGTTGTTCACAACGCTGTAGCTAGTGGCAAATGGCTGCTTCCGGTAGCACAAGCTTGAGCTGTCGCCGACCTCAAGACAAGTTGACACAACCGGGGGCAGAACAATCTGAAATAGTGAATCGTGGAGTCATGATGGAACCATACAGTCATGATGGAACCATAGAGTCATGATGGAACCATAGAGTCATGATGGAACCATAGAGTCATGAAAGAACCATACAGTCATGATGGACCCATACAGTCATGAAAGAACCATACAGTCATGATGGAATCATAGAGTCATTTACATCTCTGACTGACAGAATCTTGAGGCTTTTGTCCGAAGGCCTGGTGAAGAGTGATACGCAATAACCTGCGAGAGACAGACATATCGCCAGGTCTAATGCTGCGTTCACTGAAGCAACATGGAGAACAGTTACTGCTGCTCAATCTGATATGACTCCTTTTCTGAAGTCCAAGTTCAAGTAGGTGTGATAAATGGGTCTTCGATGCCTTGTACAACCTATTCCATCTGCTTCCACAGCAGATCGAGTAGAGTCTTAATACGCATTCTTCTCTTTATTACAGAGCGGTTCGCATAGCAAAAATTAGACAAGATACAGTTGAAAAATGAGCCTGGCAAGCATTTAGAAAAATGAATTACAAAACCCTATAATAGAGCTGCCACCATCCAAACAAACCCTCACGCGAAATACTATTACAACTGCAAGCAGTTTCATCAAGCCTCCACTGCTCTTCATCAAGCTGCGCAAATTAGTTCCATCCACTCCATCCCCGTCGCCCCTCCTTCTCAAAGTGCTTCTGCGCGTGAGATCGCACCTGCCCGTACGTCTTCGTCCCTATGTGCCTCGACACCTTCACCGCTACTCCCCGCCCCAGCCCGACCCCGGCCTTGCCATGCTCCCGCCCCGCCCCCGCCCCGTCCCGCCCGTACATGCGCAAGGCCTCCAGAAACAGCCTGTGCTCCTCTGGCGTCCAGGTCGACCGGGTCGTGCTGGAGACAGGAGCGACTGCAAGACGCGGCGAGGAGGAGGAGGCGGTGGCGGAGGACGTGGGGAGATCAGCAGCGAGCAAGCAGCGAGCAGAGCAGTGCTGGATGGGCAGGTCTGGGGCAGTCGGAGACGGAGGAGGCAGATGGGAGCAGGGATCGAGATCGTCACGATCAGGCAGGAAGGGGAGGAGGAGGTCGGGGTAGTGGGCGAGGTGTAGCCAGGGGGCAAGGAGGGGAGGGGAGGGTAGAGAGGCATCATAGAGATCGAGGGGGTAGAGGAGAGCGACGGCTTGATCTACGGAGAGGGCGGGGAGCATGGGGAGCTAGCGAGGAGCCTCCGAGGTGGACTCGGAGGTGCTGTGGCGAGGATGGGCAGGTTAGTACTGCAACTATTCCAACCTTGTAACTCGCAACTCTTGGAGGGGGATTTTTTTTAAATGACCACTCGGACAATACCGCGCAAAAACTGTGCCCTGAAGCACCTATGGGACTCGTTCGAAAAGAGGCTGTTTCGTTCTGGCCCCAAAGGGTCTGTGACTCTGTGCGAGGCTCGCTGACCGGGTGACCCTGCCCGAGTTGCTCACGTGCATCAAGCTCGGAAGTTCTGCGACCCTCAATAAGATACATATCCACTGCCGAGCCACTACAAGATTAGTACCAGGAGAGAAGGGAGAATCTCGTACAAAAATAACTGAACGCGGTAAGCGGTCGGCCAGCCTCGGAGCCTCCGGAGTCCGGACACAAGTTCCCTGGCCCGAGGCTCAGCTCGGCCGCCCGGCGTCGGAACTCAGTTGAATACAACTGAGGCGGGCGCGTTTGGTGTTCACCAGTTGCCATGGGCACGTGAAGTGGCAGCGGAGTGGTAGTTTGGGGGCAGGCGATGGCGAGGGCGAGGGCGATGGAGGTCGAAGAGCAGGAAATCTGTTACGATAAAAGACGAAGCTAAGATGGGGAGAAGAGGAGAAGATGATAAGAGTTCCAAACAAGAGGATGGGCCAAGTAACTGTGAGATGAGATAAGGAAGTGGAGGCATCGGCTGTATGCAAGCAAGTCAACAGGTTGTTGAGGTCAACTCATGTTGAACGCAGGATTGTGAGCATCTTTATTGCAACTTTGCCATATTCCTACCTCATATCATGGTGAAGCAGCAAAGAGCGTTTGCTAAGGTGGACAACGTCTGTGAAGTGTTGACTTGAGATTCAATGACTCTTTTCAGGTGAAACCCGAAAAAGAGACAAATGGACCGAAAGATTCTAGCCCATCAATCTCCAGCATACAACCAGCTCAGCTGTCTTCGAAAGTGACGTCCATGAGAGTGAGCGAAAAGTGTTTGACGGGCTGGCTATGAGACTGAGGAGCCGTCGCAGTTCATGCAGAGGAAGGCGCAGGAGTTGAGCTATGCAGCAAGGACCGGTGAAGAGTCGAGAGCATCTAGAGGGCTCGAGGAAGCTGCCCTCAATGCGATTCTTCGATCAGAGGAAGGAAATCCTTTGATCCGTTACTGTCCAGGACGAAGATCTTTCGGAGGCTTCAACAAACCAGTAGACAACCACGGATCGTGTTTGTTTTCATGATCTTGTCGGCAGATGGAGGATTATGGCGTCATGCAGATCAAAGACTTCAAGAGGATGGCCAAAGAGTTTGTGGGAGCAACCAAGAAGGTCAACTGCAGTACTGGACCGTGAGATGCTCACCGTGCTCTAGATGAATGCAAACAACCATGCCGAGAACGTCTCGCACGGCAACGACTCCAATGCAGGAAAAGATGTCAGTGACAAGGAGATGGCAAAAGCCCTGGGGAGGTGTCATGTGAACTTGTGCGGGTTTAGACTGATGCATGTGATAGGAAAACCGAAGGAGATAAAAAGCCAACCAAAAAACAGAAAATCGCCGAATGAGTGACAGAAGTTGAAATTTCTACTGATCAAGAACGATTGTTTGATATGGAAGGAGAAGGACGAATTCAAGATTTGGAGAAAAAATCAATTTAAATGTCAGATGATGTACTGCTAGAAAAACACAGGTGCTCTGGTTGTGGCAAATGCTTCCCTGCAACAAATAAATCAGTGATGTACTTCATGGTATACAACTGCAGGAAGATTCATATTGTTGGACTCGGGTAGCACACGCATCAGACGTGTTTACATCTGCTCTAATTTGTATCTCAACTCTTTCCTGACGCTACTCGTTCCCTAGAATGTCGTTGAACAGCAACTGATGCGATTGTACGAAAGCATACAGAATTTTCAATAAAGACCATTAAAGCATAGATATGTTCTGCCAACATCGCATGACCCAACATTTGGATCATGTGTAGTACGTACTACAACAACAGTCTAATAATTCAAAGAAGTGAATGAAGTGAAAATGAAGTAAGGCGACATTATGGAACAAAACATTTGCTCGTGGGAAGGCTTAAAGAAAGCGCAAAATCAATGATTGGCTGTATTCAAGCTTGGCTAGACAGTTGATGTAGGCTGCACACGCATAAAACACAGGCAAATTAGGCTCATTTACAGCACTTGCCACCCACAAGGAATAAGGTGAAGCATTTTATCTCACAAACCCAAGTCCAACGTCAATCAGATCACTGCCGAACTCAGATCAACGCCAAGCAGAGAGAATAACGTTGAGAGGCGTTTTATATCACAGTCCGAGTACATGCTACGGCCGCATCAAATTTTACAGCCTTGCTGGTAGATTTCTTTCCTTCGTTAGCCCACGCCCCATCCCCGTCGCCCCTCCTTCTCAAAGTGCTTCTGCGCGTGAGATCGCACCTGCCCGTACGTCTTCGTCCCTATGTGCCTCGACACCTTCACCGCTACTCCCCGCCCGAGCCCGACCTCGGCCTTGCCATGCTCCCGCCCCGCCCCCGTCCCGTCCCGCCCGTACATGCGCAAGGCCTCCAGAAACAGCCTGTGCTCCTCTGGGGTCCAGGTCGACCGGGTCGGGTGGAGAGGAGCCTTGGAGGGAGAGACTGCACGACGCGGCGAGGAGGAGGAGGCGGTGGCGGAGGAAGGAGGAGGGCTGGGGGCTGGGGAGGTAGGGGAGCTGGTTGGGGGGTCAGCAGCGAGCAAGCAGGGAGCAGAGCAGTGCTGGATGGGCAGGTCTGGGGCAGTCGGAGACGGAGGAGGCAGATGGGAGCAGGGATCGAGATCGTCACGATCAGGCAGGAAGGGGAGGAGGAGGTCGGGGTAGTGGGCGAGGTGTAGCCAGGGGGCAAGGAGGGGAGGGGAGGGTAGAGAGGCATCATAGAGATCGAGGGGGTAGAGGAGAGCGACGGCTTGATCTACGGAGAGGGCGGGGAGCATGGGGAGCTAGCGAGGAGCCTCCGAGGAGGAAGTGAACTTGATGTGGACCATCCTGACCTCGTAACTCGCAACTCTTGGAGGGGGATATGGAATGTTGAAAACACGTTGCTTCGTTCTGGCCCTTTCTCGATAAAGAGCGAAAGGATCTCTCTTACACCGAGGGCCCTCAAGTCACGTGCCAGTTGCTGCGTTGTGAATGCTTTTACTGTCAAAAAGATACATATCTCAAAGTTAAGGCTCCTCAGGCCTGATTGTCCTCGTTCAAGTACTGCTTTTTAACTTAACTTTGAGTAAACTTGATGGATCGTATGCCAGCCGTGAGAAATTGTGACTGTTCTGGAACGGTCACTCACGGTACTCCATTCCGGCTGGCATACGATGATCCATCAAGTTTACTCACGGCTCCTGTTTGCACCTATGGGCAAACTGGCTTAGTAGCGCCACCTCGGTCCGACGCCCAGACCCGGCCGCCGGGCCGGCCCGCCGTGCCACGGTGACCGGACCGTACTAGCCGGCTGAGTACCGCCGGCGGGCCTGAGTCCCCGGCCGGACTAATATCCTACCCCCCCGGTATCCAAGTGGGCCGCGCGTCGGCGCCGCCTCGGGAGTCGGGCGGCGGCCGGATGCCGCCGGACCGGGACTCCTCACAACTTTTATTTAGAGTCTCCTTCGCCACAGGGCGCGGCTGATAGTGGGTGCGTGTGTCAATTTAAAATGCTATTTTTATCTCTTTGGTACAAATGATGCGCTCCACCAGTGCAATCGATCTTCAAGACAGGGGTGGTGGCTAAAAATCCGATTTTAAATTGACACACGCACCCACTGTCTTCCTCTGCACCCTCCCACTCAAGCTTCATCGCTCCCATGCATGTCCATTCTGCCCCCTCATCTCCCCTGCGCTCTCCTCCTCCTCTCACCTACTTGTATATAACCCTCTTCTTCTCATCTACTTGTATACAACCCTCTTCTTCTCATCTACTTGTATACAACCCTCTTCTTCTCATCTACTTGTATACAACCCTCTTCTTCTCATCTACTTGTATGTAACCCTCTTCTTCACATCTACTTGAATATAACCCTCTTCTTCTCATCTACTTGTATGTAACCCTCTTCTTCTCATCTACTTGTATGTAACCCTCTTCTTCTCATCTACTTGTATACGATTGTTCCATTCGTCTCCATTGCTCATCTGGTCTCTTTTCCAATTCGCGAACTCGTTGCATTCATGCACGTATGTGAAAATATGATGCCTTTTGTACATCACTCGAGCAAAAAATCATGCCCTTGGCTTGGCATTCTTAGAAGAATTTCATTCGAGCTTTGACTGTTGTTCTAAACTTTGCAACTCTCCCCTTATTCATTGTGATGGACTAGTGCTGATTGTCTGTCTGGATCAGCATGTCCATCGCTCCCGTTCGACACGTCCTAGTCTTCTTCATCGTGGCGGCCTTGTACAAAGAGGCCCAAGCGACATGCTTCGATGACCCCACGGCTGATGCATGTAAGGATTCTTCAAGCTTCTACAACGACACCGCGATCAACACGGATATGCAATCGCTCTGCACCGCGATGAGCTACATGACTGGATGCAAGTGATAGTGCGATGCTGTGAAAGACGCTCCCTGACAAAATGTCCAGCATCATGAATGACTGCAACTCCAAAAAGCTGACGGGCGTGTATTGCCAACCATGGAGTCTGATATCCGATGTATGCGATACTTCCACCGGGGAGACGATGAGTATGATGAAGGGATGCCAAGCAAACTACAACCTGGTGATGCCTTGCTGCCATTGCTGACAAGTTCTTACACGAGTGCTTCCATTCAGCTCTGCAAGACGGGAACCAAGGTAACAGGCTGCGGCACTCCTGTGCCAGGGATGATTCCAACCAAAACCTTGACTCAGAGAGTGGTGATGCTGATCTAAGTAAGTAGCGGAAGAGTGCTGACACATGGTGGGCCAGTACGACTATTGTCAGATTCAGGACCCGAAGCCTTCAGGCTGCAATGGCTGCGCAGCCAACGGTTCCAGTCTGCAGAGCGAGACTGATGCCTTGACGATTTCTGCGCTGATCAGGGATGGGGTGCGTCAATCCCTTGACGACGCTGAGCGAGATGTGCAAGTGAGTATTGATGGTTGATGAGTCCATGGCAGCTGGGAGGCTGAATGGCTTGCAGGAAGGATGCCAAGGAACAATACTGCAATGAATTGACCAAGTTCTGCGCTCTTCACGCTGTAGATATCTCTCAGCTCAGACATGACCATGACATACGTTCTCATGACAGAAGGACACCTCGAGCACGAGCGTGTTTGGAGTCTACTGCAACTTCGCGACTCGTAACGTGCATGCGTGGGCGATGCTTGAGAGTGATTGTTGGTTTTTGTTGGCAGGGGCGAGCATGAGTTATGTGCTGACTGTGGTCATGGTGTTTGCTGGCTCCTGGCATGCGAGCCAACTCTCCTGGTAGATTGAGAAGAGGGGTACTGTACTAGAGAAGAGAGCAAGTGTGTGCTATTGTACAGCGTCTTTTGGTGGTTTTTGGAGCTCGGATTAGTTCTTCTGTGTACGTTGTGCAAAGAAGCAAATTACTCTTGCGGAAGCTCACCTTTGGATATCACACCAATGAGCCCCCTGCATGGACACGTTCTCAACATTTCAGCATCATGTACTGCGCAGAAATGCCATGCCTTGAAGGCGATCTACTTTTACTATACGACAAGAAGAAGTCGTGTATTCATCTCATTCCTCGCAAACATTCCTTCCTTCAGGATCACAGAAAGAACAAACCAGGTTTCACCAGCTATATTGCTACAAGCAAGCCTCCCCCCCCCTGCACTCCTTACATCGACAATGACTTGATCCACGGACAGGGAAGCTGAAAATGATGTTGAGCTGGGTCTCCTGAGAGGAGGAGAGCATCTAGAGACAACACAAGGAGGATGGCTGTATTCTCAAACCAGGCGAATCACTGGACCAGAGCAGCTAGATGCAGGTTGTTTACAAGTCAATCTCAGGCTATTGTTAGCTAGCAGAGGTTTCAATTAGATAGAAGTCTTGTATATATAGAAGTCTCCTCGCTCAGTGTCATTGCGTGAGGAAGCGATACCACTATGAGCTCGCTACCAACATCGTTGAGATACGCACTCCACTGACCGTCCCCTTCGTCGTTGTCGGGCCTCACGATCAGCACTTGCCGTACTGGCACTTTCATCCTTCTGCTCCCTGAGTCTCGTCCATAGGATGTCGTGAAAACCCACCTTGCCGAGCGGGCTATCAGTAGTCACTCAGGTGCCCACGGTCTTCCTTTCACTGCCGTGCATTGTTGACACCCAAGTTCTGCTCTGTTCACTCAATAGAGATCTCTCAGCTCAGACACGACCATGTCTTAGAGTCTATGACTTTGGTCATTGTTGTTGGCTAGCTTTTTCCATGCGAACCAACTCTCCTGGTAGATCGTGAAGAGGGGTACGTTTATCGAATTCTTTGTCAAGCCAGTAATTCACAACGTTGTGTATAGATTGTTTGTTTGTCCGTCTCCCCCTCCTCCCTCCCCTCCCTCCCTCTTCCCCTCCCTCCCTCTTCCCCTCCCTCCCTCTTCCCCTCCTTCCCTCCCTCTTCCCCTCCCTCCCTCTTCCCCTCCCCTTTCGTTTTCCCTGTTGGTGACCCCACGCGACTCTTGCTTTGGCTTTTCAGTCGCTAGTACCCTACCCTATCAGGGTAGCCTAGAACAACCCTACCTCTCGTACATATTTTACTCAAACCAGGGAGATTCATTAAGATGGTAGGGTAGTCAGAATGTGTCGTTGCATCTAATTAAAGGTGGGGTGGAAATAAGGTATAATGAGGGGTATAGAGAATCCATTTGGTATACAGGGGTAGGGTAGTCGGGAAAGATACAAGGGCAACTTGTTTGTGTGTAGAGAAGAGACAGGAGCACGCTGACGAGCGTGTGTGAGAAGAGGAGAAGAAGAGAAGAAGATCGGAGGAGGAGGAGAGAAGAAGTCAGAGAGCTTCCCTTGACATACAGTGATGACTCGAGCCATCTTCACAGCCCTTGTGATGTTTCAGCTATCCTGTGTAGCTAGTTTCTCGTTCCTTGCACCGTCCGCCATAAGGCCAAAGATCTCAGCGCGAACGAGCATTCTTGCCAGGAAGCCCTTGTCGAAGGCTGTCCCTCAGATCCGCATGCAGGCAAGTGTGCAGAACTGGATTGTGGAGAACGAGCAAGAAACAGAGGAGCTGAATGCTTGGGACGCGGGTCAGAAGTTCAACTTCAAGAAGCAGTGGTACCCCCTTGCCGTCATCGAGTTCCTCGACAAGAAGAAGCCTCATCACGTCCAGCTCTTCGGTAACGACCTGGTCATGTGGTACGACAAGACGTCCGACAAGTGGAACGTGTTCGAGGACGCCTGCCCCCACCGTTTGGCTCCGCTGAGCGAGGGAAGGATCGAGGAGGACGGAACGCTGCTCTGCTCCTACCACGGGTGGAGGTTTGACGCCAATGGCAAGTGCACTCTCATCCCGCAGGCAAACGAGAAGCAGGCGCAGGCCCTCATGTCGAGCAAGCGAGCATGCGCCCTGTCGTACCCTGCCATGCAAGCGCAAGGGCTCTTGTGGGTGTGGGGGGAGCAAGGGGGGCCAGGGAGCGATGCTGCCATCGAGAGCGCGTTGAAGAGCCCAGCTCTGATCGCAGAGCTCGAGGACCCTGAGCTGAAGGGAAGGGCACAGCAGCTGACCTGGAGCATCCGGGATATGCCCTATGGGTGGGACTTCTTCATGGAAAACGTGCTCGACCCTGCCCACGTGACTGTTTCGCATCATGGCATCGTAGGTAGGATGTGTCCTCCTCCCTCCCTCCCTCCCTCCCTCCCTCCCTCCCTCCCTCCTCCTTCCGCTCCCTCTTTCTCGTATCGTCCTGCTCTCACCCATGATCCCACTGCAGGCAACCGATACACATCTCCCTCTTTCTTCAGGATGCAGACGACAAGGAACGCGACGGCTCAGGGAGGGTTCGCGCATTCCATCACCTTCGACAAGTCTCCTCCCCTTGGAGAGGGCAGCGACACCGTGCAGGAGTTTCTTCCTCCCAGCATGGTCAGGATCAAGAGCAGGTTCCCCAACGGGTGCCAGTCGCTCCTGGCGCTGTACGCGACCCCGACGAAACCAGGATACGTCAGACACATCGGATGCCAGGTGAGGGGGGCAAAGTGATAGAGAGAAGAGGATGAGGAGAGGAGAGGGAAAGAGATGAAGGCGGGGAGAGGGGAGGGAAGAAGAAGGGAGGGGAGAGTTGAGGAAACGGGAAGGGAGGAAGAAGGGGAGGAGAGGGGAGACGGAAGGGGAGAAAACAAGGTTTGTTTCCAACTTGACGTAAGGGCAGGTCCTCGTGAAAGGAGAGGATGGGGCTCTGGCACCTGGCCTTGGCTTCTTTGCCCTCCCGATGCCCAAGTGGTTGAACCATGTGCTTGCCTCCCTGTTTCTCCATCAGGACATGGTGCTGCTCCACCACCAGGAGAAGATCCTTGCAGATGCGGGCTATCGCAACATGCAAGGTGATACTCTTAGTCTCATGGCTGCTCTCGCTGCTCCCGCTCCCGCTCCCGCTCCTGCTCCTGCTCTACACTTCCTGCTCCTGCACCTACACTTCCTGCTCCTGCTCCTGCTCCTGCACTCCCTGCTCGTCCCATATGTTCGATGGATCTGTCCCATGACAACTCTTGGCAGGATCCACTGAGAGATACGGAGATAAGGTGAAGACTGTTGCTTGACCTGCGCTCCTCCCTCCCCTCCTCTTCTCATTCGCTTCTTCAGACTTGCTTGCTTCAACCCCAAGACAAGGGCGTCACTTTCTTCCGCAACTGGCTCCGCGTCTTTGCCAACGGTGGCGTTCCATGGAAAGGTGAGGGAGGGAAGGAGGAAAGGCGAGGAGGGAGGGAGGGAGGAAGAGGAGGGAGGGAAGACAGTGACAAGGAAGCAGAAGGCACTTCCTCGATGCCACCTCGTGAGTTCGACAAGCGCAAACTCTTTGACGTGTACAATGCGCACACGAAGAATTGCAAGGTGAGAGAAGAGAAGATGGCGTGTGAAAGAAACGGCGGAGATGAAGGGATGTTCGTATGAGATGATGTGAGATGAGTTGGAGGGTATCATGATCTGATCAGTGGAGAACTAAGGTGTGGTGATATGATGAGGAGCGATGATGTGATGTGAAACGAGATGAGCTGAAAGAGACAAGGACGTCGAGGGATGTTGATTTGAGTGTTTCAGGTCTGTCAGGATGCTGTTCAGAACCTCAAGCTTGCCCGCGGCCTCTTCGTCGGCCTCTCGCTCGCCTCCGTCGCTCTCTCTCACGGCGTCGTCGCGCTCTCCTCCTCCCTCTCCTGCGCTCTCGTCGCTCTCGCCCTCCACAAGCTCATCGGCCTCTTCTACGTGTACGAGTTTGAGCATGCAAACAACGACTAAGGGAAGAGGTGAAGCGAGGAGCAGAATAAATGACGACGATCTGGAACAAGTATATGTTATGAAGATGAAGAGAAGGGAAGAGAGAAGAAGAGAAGAGCAGAGAAACGAGATGGCTTTGTGTTACAGTCTTTAATGCACTCTGTTCAATCAAACCATCTTGCGTCGTCTGCTTTGAAAAGAGTCTTGTTGTATTTCTGCATCAAAACCAGTCAGAACCAAATCCAATAAATGAACAGCATGAACGCAATATTAACATCTCAAACCGTGAACATTATCCTTACCTGTACAAGTTTGTCGAAGTCATCAACGACATCCTTCCTGGTCTTCTTACTTCTCTTCACACTCCCCGTCGGCTCATGCTTGATCTGCCGCAAGATGATCATCCTCTTTAACCCCACCAACATCACTACCACCATCACTACCATCACTACCATCATCACCATCATTACCATCATCACCGCCATCATCATGACCATCATAGTCATCATCATAGTCATCATCGTAGTCGTCATCATCACCATCACCATCATGGTCGTCAACATCCTCCTCCCCCCCTTCCTCCGCCTCCTCCTTCATCGTCATCTCTTACAATGTTGTGGATCTCCTTGTCGATGCCTCCATCTTTGACGTCCAACTTTCTCTTCCTGCACCTTCGTCATTTTCTCCGTTGTTCTCTCCCTGCTTCCTCCCCCTTCTCGCCTCTCCTCCTCCTCTTTCTCCTCCCCCTTCTAGGCCTCTCCTTCCGATCCTCTCCGCTCCTTCTCCTCTCCTTCATCCTCCTCCTCCTCCTCCTCCTCCTCCTCCTCCTCCTCCTCCTCCTCCTCTGTCCTCTTCCTCCTTTCAGCTCCCTCCCTCATTCACCTCGTCTCAGTCTTTGTGCCTCTTCCTTCTCCTGCAGTCTGCTGCTTCTTCGGCTTCTCCTGTTTTTTCTGCTGGGCAGCTGCTGGACTTGCCTTGCCTCGTCCTTCTTTCTCGTCGCCTTTTGCCGATGCCTTGCAGATTCCATCAGAGAGGAGGAGAGAACATAGAGGCTCAAGACAAGAGGTGGACGAGGAGGAAGCAACAGCAGCAGCAGCAGCAGCAGCAGCAGCAGCAGCAGCAGCAGCAGCAGCAGCAGCAGCAGCAGCAGCAGCAGCAGCAGCAGCAGCAGCAGCAGCAGCAGCAGCAGCAGCAGCAGCAGCAGCAGCAGCAGCAGCAGCAGCAGCAGCAGGAAGGAGGATGAGGATGAGGAGGAGGAGGACAAGGGCTAGGAGTCATACCGATGCTGCACGCTTCTCCTTCTTCTTCATCCTCTGCCGCGCTCCTCTCCCTGCCTTCTTCTCCTCACTCTCCTCTACTTCCTCGTTGGCCTGCCGGCGAAGTTTTGCCCTCTGCGTCCTCTCCTCCTTGATCCGCCGCTGTCGAAGGATCCTGGCATCGTCGATGGCGAAGTCTAGAAGAAAGGTAAGTGGGAAAAATGAAATAAAGGAGGAGATCAACAGGAAGTGCAGGAGCAGGAGCAGGAGCAGGAGCAGGAGCAGGAGCAGGAGCAGGAGCAGGAGCAGGAGCAGGAGCAGGAGCAGGAGAAGCAGGAGCAGGAGCAGGAGCAGGAGCAGGAGCAGGAGCAGGGGAATGGGTTACCGATCATCAGTCTCTTCCCTTGGTTGTGCTTCTTTGCAGTGATAGGACAATTGTTGAGCTTACGTAAAGCCTGAAGGAATAAAGTTACACGGAAAGGTTCAACGACGAGAAATGGTTGGAGGAAGGGAGACGAGGAGGAAGTAGGAGGAGGCAGGAGAGACAGGGGGGGGCAGGGGGGGGCAGGTGAACGATGGAAGAGGAGGAGCAGCATCGGCTATACCAGCAGCGCATGTTCGTGCTCGCTGAACTCCACGAAGCCATAGCCTTTGGATTGAAACTTGTTTGTCACCGGATCAACTTTTTCTTTGTTCCGAACGAGTTTGGCCGACAACACCTGGAGAGAAACGTGAGGAGGAAGAGAGATAAACAACAAAAGTAGGAGCAGGAGCAGGAGCAGGAGCAGGAGCAGGAGCAGGAGCAGGAGCAGGAGCAGGAGCAGGAGCAAGAGCAGGAGCAAGGAGAGAAGTGAATCCTCACTTGTACTTTGCTCGTGTCGTCCTTGCCGCTTGCATTCTGGCAGGGGAAAGGCGGTGAGGAGAGAGGAGGAGGACAGACAGCGGAGACCTCGACTGCGGTCTTGAACAGAGCCTTCAGCTGGGGCTCCGTCATGTCCTTGCTCAAGTTGCGAACTGACAGGCGAGTCCTGTTGGTTGGAGGGAGTCAGGAAGAGCAGCAGGAGCAGGAGCAGGAGCAGGAGCAGGAGCAGGAGACCTCAACAATCAAAAAGCAAGTTAAATGTAGATTAAACTCTCGTGGAGGAGAGCAGGGGGGCGAGGGGGCGGGGGCGGGGGGGGGGGGAGGTCGAAGTAGTCCGAGGCGCGATCATCGTCATTTCCATCGTCAATAAGAGATTTCATCATCGTCATCATCATCATCGTCATCGTCATCGTCATCGTCATCGTCATCATCATCGTCATCGTCATCGTCATCGTCATCGTCATCGTCAAGGACCTGTTGATGAAGAAGTTGGTGTTGGCAAGTCTTTTGCTTCTTCTCCTGCCAGTCTCGCAGCCTCTTGGCGAGGTCTTGAGGGGGACAGTTCTTAGCTTCCTTCATGTCGGCGAGGATCAGGCCCTCCTTGGCCAGGTACAGGTTCCTCCTGTCATAGGATGAAGGCGGCAATGACAACGTCAGGTCTGAAATGATGAAGCAAGGTTTGATCGAGGACGAGTGAATTTGAAAAGAAGGAGGGAGAATTGAGTTGTGAGGTGTGAAAGCCCTCACTTGTCGATCTTCTCCTTGTTTGATGAAACTTTCTCCACATCATTTCTGTCGACGGCAAAAGCGACAAACAAATGCCTGAAGGATGGAAAATAAGAAAGAGAATAAGGCAGGCAGGCAGGCAGGCAGGAAGGCAGGAAGACAGGAAGGGAGGCAGGGAGACAGGGAGGGAGAGAGGGAGGGAGGCAGGCAGGCAGGAAAACCTTCCATGAAGGGAGAGTGTTTCTTGAAATTCTCTCTCCAACGTGCTCTTGATGAAGGAAACTGATTGCAGCTTATCTTTCTTCTTCTGCACCTTCTCCCACTCCTCGCTCCCGGTGAAGGCTCCTCCTGCCTCCACCGCCTTGGCTGCCGCCTCCTCCTCCGCGTACTGGATGAACGCCGTCCCCTTGTGCTTCCCCGTTGCCTTGTCAAGCACCAGCTTGCAGAGTTTTATCTTGCCAAACCTGACGTGAAGGTTAGAAGAGGAGGAGAGAAGGAGGAGGAGAGCGAGGGGAATACGATATGCAGAGGTTCTCTCCCTTGTACTACTTGAACTCTCGTCCTTCCACTTCCTTCCCTCTCCTCTCCCACTCTCTCTCCCTCCACCTCCCCTCCTGCTGCAGGACGATGGAAGCAGATGAAGACCTTCGGAACGTTTCCTTGACCTCTTGGTCCGAGGCCTCCAATGGAATGTTTCTCACGAACACGGTTCTCTTCAGCTCTTGCTGCTTTGAACCCTCCGCCTCCTGACCTCAAGTCAACTTGACCAGCACAGGCAACAAGGAGGGAGAGAGGAAGCACCTGTCCTGTCTTTGTTTTCTTGTCCTTGCCCTTGTTTGCCTCCTCCGCTTCCTCTCTCTTTCTCTTGGTGTCCTTTTTCCCTTCCTCCTCAGGCTTCGAGGCCTCCGCAGAGCTCGACTGAAAGAAACAGCAGCAGTCAACCAAAAAGACCGAGAGAGAGTGAAAAAAGCTCCTGACAAGTGCAAACAAATTCCATTGACTCAACCTTCATGTCGAGGCCCTCCTATCACTCCCTCCTTCGCTTCCTCTCCCTCCCTCCCTCCTTCTCCCTCGCTCCCTCCTCCTCCTCTCTCTCTCCTCCTCTCCTCCTCTCTCTCTCTCTCCTCCTCCTCCTCCTCCTCCTCCTCCTCCTCCTCTTCCTCTTCCTCCTCCTCCTCCTCCTCCTCCTCCTCCTCCTCCTCCTCCTCCTCCTCCTCCTCCTCCTCTTACCCCTCCTTTTCCTCCTGCATCCTTGTCCTTGGTGTCATGTACGTCTTCATCACAATCTTCATCTTCATCATCTGAGTTGTCGAACAATGTTCTGTGGTGAACAAACTGAGATGTGAGATCAAATGGCTGCTACAAGCTCACCGATTTTTCTTCTTCTTTTCTTCTTTCTTCTTCATCGGCTCAACGGGCATGACAATCTGCGGTGAAAGTGTGATCAACATGAAAACTCAGTGAAAGCCAAAATTGATGAACTAGTCGTAACAGTCAAGACAGTCAAGACGGTCAAGACAAGACAAGACAAGACAAGACAAGACAAGACAAGACAAGACAACAAAGGCATGAGATCTCTTCTTACTTGT